CTAGACCCTATTGCCAGTTGTTTCTGGGCTGGGCCTATTCCCAGTGACACTGGGAACAGTTTCTGGGCCATTTGTCACAGGGAATAGTGCTTTCCTTATAAGTTATACTCTTTATTAGGAGAGAAACTTAACAGCCACTATTCCGAGCAAGGCAAAACACGAGACAGGCAGACCACCAGACAGACGGGACAGCCACACTGGAGGCAACGAACGCAAGTTGGACCTCCCAGCGACTCCCTCCGACCACCCATTTCACCAGGATCTGATTCGGTCCACGTAATAGTAAAACAGAAACGAAAAGGGACCAAACACACACACACACACACACACACACACACACACACACACACACACACACACACACACACACTTTCATAATGCATATATCTCAGCTCAAAATGCTTTACAGTTTATTTCAGAGATTGTATAAATTGTAAACTGCAAAAATCTTACTGTTCAACAGCACTTGCACTACACGAAAAACCAACGCTGTACATTATCATTTCTCAGTACCATACAATAACATTATGACAACATAAGTCAGTAACGATGCTAATAATACCTATCATAATATATAATAATGACGTAAATTATAATATTAAAGAGAATCGTAACCAAAAAAAAAAAATTTTTTTTAAAAATTTGATGGATTAGTGAAAGACAGCGTCATGCGTCACTTTTCCAAATGGCATAAAAGGTGACGTATTTCACAAAACAGTTGATTTATTGACGTCACTCAGTCATCAGGCTCCTCACTGACCATCCTAGTCATCATTGTTGTATAAGTATACTTTTTTTTTTTTTTTTTTAAATGGAAACTGGGATACCTTTTGAGAATTTTATGGTGTAGCATGTACTAAAAATATGGTTCAATTTTTCGCCGTAATAACCCATCACTGTTGTCAAATAGAAAACAAAATAATACAGGAGACTTGGATATTTTTATTGAATTTTATGGTATTATTAAAGACAAGGTTCAACGTTTCGCCCCCATAACCATCATAATCACTACACTTGTATAACGGAGAAAATTTTTTTTATTATATAACGGAGACTTGGGATATTTTTTAAAAAGAATTTCATGGTATTGCTAGAAATAAGGTTCAACATTTCGCCATGATATCCATCATAATCATTATTGCTGTTTAATAGAGATAAAATTGGGGACTTAGCTATATGTTTTGAAAATTTTACGGTAAAACTAAAAATATGATTCAAAGTTTTGAGCTGTTCAGGCTTCATCAGGAACACAACGGAACATTATCCTATCATCATCAACATCATTGTTTAAAAAGATTATCTTATCATCATCAACATCATAGTTTAAAAAGATTATCTTATCATCATCAACATCATAGTTTAAAAAGATTATCTTATCATCATCAACATCATTGTTTAAAAAGATTATCTTATCATCATCAACATCATTGTTTAAAAAGCAGAGTATTGCTGGATTTGCAGACTAATAAATTTTGATATAAAAAGTTTTAAATTTGTTTTATTGAATCAGCTCAAATGTCATCATCATCTCAAAAGAAATATTTCCATAAAATACACAACCCAGATATGTGCACTTTGAGGTGTCCACGTAGTGCCAACAATACAAAGGATACGAGGAGAGGAGGGAACATAGTATTATTTCTACCTTGGAGTCACACAACAAAATATGCTTTTAAACCCCCCCCCACCCCCCAAAAAAACCCAACAACCCCAAACCCTAACTTCTCCCAATTCAATTAATGTCTTCCAGGTATGACAACAAAAAGGGTCTATCCACTACGCCGCCACAAATGCCAGAGACCCTGTGTTTTAGTTTTAGTAAGAGTTTCATGGCACTTGCAACACAATTAGGCGCTAATGTTAATATGAATTGCATTTCTATAGTCCACATTCACGTTCTAAAGCATGCTCTACGCGCTTCACAGCCATTATTTCCCCGGCACACCCTAGAATGAGAAACATTCTCTGCTTCCCAGGCAGCATACAGTGCAAGCAGCCAGTTAAGCACTCAAACACTAACAACAAACTGACAAAATCTTTTGTGGTCTGTTGCCAGGTACCCATTCCAACCTAAGTGAATTTTAGAAAAAAAATCGTGTTAAGTGCTGAGATGGATACAACATCCCAGCGGAAGCACCTGAGAGACTCTCAATAAGAATGATCCCGACCCGGGAATCGAACTGGGTCTCCTAAGAGTGACATGCATGCCTAACCGCTACACCAAAGACGTTGGTACCAATAACCTGGTATCAATCTCTTGTTTTAGTAAGTGCTTTACGGCACTTGCAACACAATAAGGTCATATAAGTGCCGAAGATTAGAGGTGTTACAAGAGAGTAACAATCACAAAAAAGAAGGGGAGATAAGGACGATAGATGTTTGATAGGAAAGAAGTAACAAACCACACCAGACCACCCGCCAACCACCCACGAGGAGAGATGGGGACGACAGATGTTTGATAGGAAAGAAGAAGGAACCCACACCAGACCACCCGCCAACCACCCATGATCATTCTCTGAGCAGGAGAAAAATAGCCGAAACAATTCTATAGAACCCAGTACAGTGAACACATTTTGCATTGCAGACATTTTGGTCACATTCAACAGGGGACTCAGGCAAAATCTAATACCCAGTGCTCATAGGGGGGGGGGAGGGATTCTCAAACTGATCGTCCGACTCGCAGCCTGAAAACACACGCGCCTGTTGTTGTTTTTTAGGCGAGTCGGGCGATCGGTCGGAGCCACGGTCGTCGCTTTGTTGTGCCCTCAATCAGGCTAGCCCTGCCTACCTATCAAATTGCGCTGAACTGAACCAATCGTGCCTAAGAGCATTAGATAATATAAGGAGTCTCACCAGATCTACCGAGGGCATGGTATAATATACATGTTTTTCAAAACAAAAGAAGAAATAAAAAGGAATGAAAGAAGTGTCTCATTCACTGCTATTTGTGCATACAAGGAAAACAGAAACAAAATCAAAAACCATAAAAAACCCAAAACAACCAAAACCAACATAAACATAAAATAACCAAATAAAAATAAAATGACAAAATAAAAATAAAATAACAAAATAAAAATAAAATAAAGTTTAAAAATCAAAATTTTTCAGCTGCCATTGACATTATTTCCCATCAATTTACGCAAGGCGCCAAAATTTTTCAGAATGCCTGCCCATATAATGCCCCCAACCCCTCTACGGCTGTGGTTTAAATCTTCAGCACTTGTACGACCTAAATGTGTTGTAAGTACCATAAAACTCCTTATCTTAAAGTAAAAATCGACGTGATCCACATCATTTAAGAGGCTGACTGCTTCAAGTGTGTCTCTCGTCTGGGCCAACCCGGGCTGAGTGGGGCAAAGCATCCTAGCAGAAAGCCAGACTACACTTGAAAAACCCCCCCAACCCAACAACAACCCAAAAACCAATGAAAGCTTGTTCATTTGCCTTACGGGTGCTTCTGATTTGTTAAAGATAACCATCTATTCCGCATAGGAGACGAGATATTGGCGGTAAAAGGAGACGGGGGTTGCCTGATATCAGGGGTAAAATACTAGAGAAAATGGCCACCAAATTTTGGTGACTTTCAAAGCTGCATAGTCCTTGGAAACTGCAAATTTACATGTTCAGTGACTGCAAATTTACATGTTCAGTGACTGCAAATTTACATGTTCAGTGCCTTTGATCAACATTAATCAGTAAAAATCCATGCAGGAATGTGACTTTAAGTGTACATAAAAAAAAAGGTATTCAGCCCCAAACAAACAAAATAAGTGATAAAGATTGTCAAGTGAGCAGAAAAATATCAGTTTCTTCCGCCTCATTATTTTGACGAGGGCCTGATTTCACCACAAATGACAAACAAAAATCTTCTACGGGTCAGGTCAAACTAGAATCTCTCCTCCACCTTCACAAGCCACTTGGGCTTTTTCCCAAAGCGGTTCGGCTAAAGAGCCACAACAACAATAGCCCCGTCACCTCTAGCAAATTTATATATATATTATAAAAATCAACAGCCATATCCAAAATCAACCACACTCCTAAAAATGCACACTATATTACGCCACTTCACTCGCAGCGGCCAAAATTGCCAAAACAAGCAGGCCACACAGCTTTTTACATGTCGCCAGATGAAGCAGTGCCATTTTCAGCAGCAAGTTGCCAAGTAATAATGCTATAGCCAAAAAAAAAAAAAGAGACGAAAAGACACAAGATGTGTCACCAAGAGCAATAAACCGCAGGCATAATCCCTTCTCTAGAAGATAGGCTTTACTTCATGCTTCTCTCTCTCTGTCTCTTTCTCTCTCACTCTCTCTTTGTCTTTGTCTCTCTCTCTCTTTCTCTGTCTTAATTCTCATAAACAAATCCATGCATTTGAGAAAGCAATCCATTCCAGCACCCGCACGCACCCACACAAAGATATACTCCACTAAATAAATCCGAGCCAAACGAGAATCCTACACTACGAAAACAATGACAGAAACAAAATAAATAAGAAAAAAGATTATATAAAAAGTAAGTAATACATATGTATATATATATATATATATCATACACACACATACAAATAAAAAGCGGGATATAAAAAAAACCCAAACAACAAAACAAGAACAAAAACAAAAACAACAACAAAATTTTGAGTATAAAACAAATATAGGGTCGGACACAGTAAACAGATTTCTACTCTAGCTAGAAACTCCTCTGGGCTGAGAGGCTATCAATCAGGCAAAGACGGACACACTAAACAAACAAAAAAACAAACAAAACAAAAAAACAAACACAGACGCACACAAAGAAGTCTACCCGACTGACCTTTGCCACTGTCTGAAACAAACACAGAATGAGAACATTGCGGGTTGACGGCTGTGTCATGGGTACGTTTTATGTCTTAAAGACAGTTTTACGGCACTTGCAACACAATTAAGTCACAAAAGTGCCAAAGATTAGAGGTATAACAAGACAATTTTACGGCACTTGCAACACAATTAAGTCATAAAAGTGCCAAAGATTCAGAGGCGTTACAAGACAGTTTTACGGCACTTGCAACACAATTAAGTCATAAAAGTGCCAAAGATTCAGAGGCATTACAAGACAGTTTTACGGCACTTGCAACACAATTAGGCCATAAAAGTGCCATAGATAACAGGTATAACAAGACAGTTTTACGGCACTTGCAACACAATTACGTCATAAAAGTGCCAAAGATTAAAGGTATAACAAGACATTTTTACAGCACTTGCAACAAAATTAGGTCATAAAAGTGCCATAGGTAAGAGGTGTTGCGTGAGAGAAATAAACACCATTTTAAAAAATGTTAATGGAGGAGGAGATAAAAATACGACATATGTTCCATAGTGGAGAGAGGAGAAAACCAGACCAGAGCACCCGCCAACCACCCACCGTCACGCTTACGTCATGAATAAAATCATCTGCCGCCACTACCGAACTAAGATCTAGACAGATGACTCTGGTTCGAATCTTTAACCAAAGCAGTGCTGCCTGCCAACCCAAAACCACAATGGCTCTGATAAAAATTCTTCCTTTTTGCACATAGTTGCAGAGTTGTGTCAATTTTTCTTTTCATTCCAGAAGGGAGGGAGGGAGTGCATATCTCCACATCTCCTGGGACAGGCTGGAAGAGAACCTTGAAGAGTTTGACCGTTGCAACTCATTTAACACAAAATTGGTCATTAAGAAAAAGCAGGATCTGCGAACAACGAGCGTTCTGTCTCCAAAAGGCCAAAAATAATACGAGAATTTTAAAGGACCTCATATTACGTCAGGCAAGCTGGGTCCAAAAAATGACGCCCCCTTCGGACTTTGGGAATAATACTAGAATTTTAAAGGACCTCATATTACGTCAGGCAAGCTAGGTCCAAAAAAAGACGCCCCCTTCCGACTTTGGGAATACAGACTGCCTACAGCATAAATGACAACCCAGTGAAATGCCTCCAATAGACAGAGAAGCACATTGGCAACAAGACTTTTTTTCTCTTTTGTAAAAAGCAAGAAAGACCGACAGACACAACAGAAGGAGGGAAGAGATGTTAAAACCAGAGTCTTAGAGAGACGAAAGAGAAAGATTTGTCAGTCAAGGCACAAAATATTCTGCACAAATATGTGGGGCAGCGTGGTGAAATCAGGTGCTCACCAAAATAATGAAATTGAAGAAACTGGCATTTCCTTGCCAGTTCGGCTATTTTTATAATTCTTTTTTGGGGGCTCAACGTCTTTTATGCCCATTCAAGAACACATTTCTGTGTGGATTTTTACAGAAAAACATTGATTAAAAACACACAAAAATTAAGTTTTCAGTAACCACAGGCTCTCAAGCTACGGAAATAACCAAAGATTGGCGGCCATTTTCTCTCTAACTTGACCCATGAAACAAGGCCATCTCCACCTCCTTCAATTGCGGATATCCCGACTTCTATTCAAGATTAATGGGTATTATTTTCATCGAAGGCAAGACAAATGAACAAGTACAAATAACTCCACATGCCCCAGAAACTGACGAGCACCTGATTCCACCGCGTCGTGACACATATTATGTGTACCAGCAGAATAATAATTGCTATGGCGTGAACATGATTAGATCATACACATACGAGGGCTGTCCCACGGAAAACCGGAAAAGGTCCATAAAAGCAACAATCTTTGTCCTATTATAATAAAAATGCAACACATTATACCTCAACATGTGCTTTATTTCTCAAGGTAATCACCATCCCGCTGGACGCATTTTTCCCATTATTGAATCAGGGAGAAGATACCCTTTTTGAAGAAATTTTTGTCAAGGGATTTCAACCAATCTTTCACTGCTTCAATGAGGTCTTCGTCGTCGGTGAATCGCTGTCCAGAAATATGGCGTTTCATTGGTCCAAGAAGGTGATAATATGACAGGGCCAAGTCAAGACTGTGAGGGGGTGTGCCACAACTTCCCAGCCAAACCTTTGGACCCAGTCTTTTGTAGCGTTTGTGGTGTGTGGCGTTGCGTTGTCATGTTACAAAATGACCCCGCTGGACAACCGACCTGGTCTTTTTCGACGCACAATCTCTCTCAACTTATCAAAAGTCTTGCAGCATCTGTTAGAAATAACAGTTTGCCCAGGTTCCAGAATGTCAAGAAGCAGAACACTTTTAGCATCCCAGAAAACTGTGGCCGTGAGTTTCTTCACCGATGGCTGAACTTTAAACTTTTTCTGGGGAGGTGAAGACGTGTGCTTCCAAACCATTGAATCCCTCTTCGTCTCCGAGGTCATGTGGTGTATCCAAGTCTCGACACCTGTAATAATGTTTCTCAGAAATGCTTCATCATATTGTTGGAGGTCTCCAGAAACGTTCATGACTCCCGTGACAGCTTGGCGACAACCATTCAACAAAGTCTGAGACACTTCAACATGTTGCGTCTGGTGGTCAGCTGTCAGCTCTTTTGGGACCCATCGAGCAGAGACCTTTCGATAGTGCAGCTCATCAAACACTATCCTATTGACAGTGGACTTTGAAATGTTTAGCGACTCGGAAAGTTTGCGAATTTTTAGGCGCCTGTCTGTTTGAATGAGTTTATTAGGGCAACTCTTGCTGTCCTCAGTCTTGGCAAAAAAACCAAGGTCCGGGGTGAACTTTGCCATTGACATCCGTATGCCCGGCTTTGAACTTACTACACCACTTTTATACCTGTGACTTTGCCGTCACTTTCTCACCGTAAACTGACTTTACTTCAGTGTGTATTTCTATAGGTTTGAGACATTTTGCGGTCAGAAACCAAATGACAGACCTCACTTCTACCCGTGACCAATTTTCCAAGGGGGTAGCCATCTTGGGAGAACTGCTGTGTTCGTTTGGTTAGTGCGATGCTCATGGTGCTCAATCGGGAAATTCCTAAATGATTGTTTTACAAGTGTGCGCTTACAGAATGTGAAAATATTGAATATTTTGCACATTACAGCCAAATTCCGGTTTTCCGAGGGACAGCCCTCGAACCTCAAAGTAAACAAAGACGTAAAAATATGCAAATCCACACAAATACAGACAGACAGACAAAACATACTCCCCGTTCCACAGACTAGGACACACACAATCAAAATGAACAAACACACACATCCAACAACCACACAAAAAACACCCACACACACAAAATTCCCCTCGACAGATTCCAACCCTGAAAAGGTAAAAAAAACCCACTCACTTTTTCTGCTGCTGCCGCGAGTTACCGTTGAGGTTGTAGGCCATTTCTGACCGTGGAGAGCGGGGCGAGGGTGACCGGTTACCGCTGCCGGACGCCGGCACTCGGGAATATTCCGGAAGAAGATCTGGCTTCCCGCCAACAGCACCCGTGCCACCTACTCACATGGAGAGAGAGAGAGTTTGATTAAAGTTTTACAGCGTTAGCAACTGCAGAAGGTCATGAGGGAGG